ATTTCTTTCATTTCATTTCATGTCATTTCATTTCATGTCATTTCATTCATTCATTCATTCATTCATTCATTTCATTTCATTTCATTCATTCATTCATTCATTTCATTTCATTTCATTTCATGTCATCTCATTTCATTTCATTCATTTCAGTCATTTCAGTCATTTCAGTCATATCATTCATTTCATTCATTTCATTCATTTCATTCATTTCATCTCATTCATTTCATTCGTGTCATTCATTTTATTCATTTTATTCACTCGTTCATTCATTTTGTTCGTTCATTCATTTCATTCTTTCGTTCATTTATTAAATCATCCTTTCCTTTCCTTTCCTTTTCTTTCATTTCATTTCATTTCATTTCGTTGCATATCGTTTCGTTTCGTCTCATTTCTTTTTTTCATATCATTTGACTTTATTTCGGCTTTCTCCCCCAGTACAAGTCCAAGGCAACAATCCTGCAGCCATTATAATGCGATTTGCAGCCGCTCATCCTTGGCTGCACCCACTTTACACAGAAAAACACAATGTTTCGCGCTGACCACTTCCCTCAGCCACCACTTCCCTTACCACTTCTCTGAGTCACCACTTCTCAAAGTCACCACTTCCCAAAGTCACCACTTCCCTCAGTCACCACTTCCCTTAGCCACCACTTCCCTTAGTCACCACTTCCCTTACAGTACCACTTCTCTGAGTCACCACTTCCCTTAGCCACCACCACTTCTCAAAGTCACCACTTCCCCAAGCCGCCACTTCCCTCAGTCACCACTTCCAAAAGTCACCACTTCCCTTAGTCACCACTTCCCTTAGTCACCACTTCCCTTACCACTTCTCTGAGTCACCGCTTCCCTCAGTCACCACTTCCAAAAGTCACCACTTCCCTTAGTCACCGGGGTCACCGCTTCCCCAAGTCGCCACTTCCCTCAGTCACCACTTCCAAAAGTCACCACTTCCCTTACCACTTCTCTGAGTCATTGCTTCTCTGAGCCACCACTTCCCCAAGTCGCCACTTCCCTCAGTTACCACTTCCAAAAGTCACCACTTCCCTTAGTCACCACTTCCCTTACCACTTCTCTGAGTCACCACTTCTCAAAGTCACCAATTCCCCAAGTCGCCACTTCCCTCAGCCACCACTTCCCTTAGGCACCACTTCCCTTACCACTTCTCTGAGTCACCACTTCCCTTAGTCACCACTTCTCAAAGTCACCACTTCCCCAAGTCGCCACTTCCCTGAGGCACCACTTCCAAAAGTCACCACTTCCCTTAGTCACCACTTCCCTTACCACTTCTCTGAGTCACCACTTCCCTTAGTCACCACTTCTCAAAGTCACCAATTCCCCAAGTCGCCACTTCCCTCAGTCACCACTTCCAAAAGTCACCACTTCCCTTAGTCACCACTTCCCTTAGTCACCACTTCCCTTACCACTTCTCTGAGTCACCACTTCCCTAAGTCACTACTTCCCTCAGTCACCATTTCTCCAGTCACCACTTCCCCAAGTCGCCACTTCCCTCAGTCACCACTTCCAAAAGTCATTTCTTCCCGAACTCTCCACTTCTATTTGTCCGTAACTCGGAAGATTGCTTTCCAACTTCCTTTGATGATGTGATATGATATGGTATGATATGATATGATATGTTATGATATTATACTGTATTATATTGCATTATGTTATCTTATGTTTATTTTAAATTAATTTGTGCTATGTTATATTATAGCAAGTTGTATTGTATCATTTCATATTATACTATATTATATTATATTATGTTATGTTTTATTGAAATATGATATTTCATTATATATCATATCACATATGCGATATTGTATTACATAAATTTTACTATATTACATTAAATTATGCTATGTTTATGTTTTGCTATAATTGATGTCATATTATGTCATATTAGCAAATTTTATCATATTGTATTATATTGTATTATGTTATATATTGTATTATATGTACTATATATAGTGTAAATATTATATATATATATTATTATATACTAAAACTAAATTATATCATATTAATTATGTTATAAGTTTAATTAGTTTATCATATTATATATCATAATATATATATATTATTATATCATATTATATTATATTATATTATATCATATTATATTATATTATATTATATATTATATTATATTATATATTATATATTATATATTATATTATATTATATCATATTATATTATATTATATTATATTATATATTATATTATATATTATATTATATTATATATTATATTATATATATTATATTATATATATTATATTATATATATTATATCATATCATATCATGCTATATGCGCACCTATATATATACACCGATGCTACTGTGCTGCATATGACAGCCATGGAGTGGCCATGGTTCTATATGTGGGAACATGATGCTGCTGTCTTGTTTTTACCTTTCTTGTCATTGTAGCGGTTGTCATTGCGGTGGTCGTCGTGGTCATGGCAGTCATGACACTGTTTGTTGATGAGCTCAGGCTTTACTATATAGTAGCTGCATTGCCGCTTCGCATTACTTGCATATCTTGCCACAGCAGTTGGAGACTAAACTCAAAGTTCATGCAGCTCTTTGGGAGAGCTTCTGTTCTGTGCAAACAATCCAAAGAAAGTTCATGGATATGTGCTGTGTAATTACAGTACCTTTGAAAGTGATACCTTCAGAAGAATAGGCAGTCAGTTTCACTAACAGCAGAATTACTGATAAAAAAAAATCGGTTCCGGACAACATGAAGGAAAACTGTGTATTTCACAGAAACTGGTCGGACGAAATCAAATGCATCTGCTCATATCTGCTGTTTTTGCTACAGCCGAGATTGCCAAAAAAATAACCAAAGTAGCGCTCGCTCTCAATCGCAGCCACTGAGGTGCCAAACTGTCTGACTCACTGTCCCACACAGTGCTGGGCGTCGCCTCAGGCTGTCTGGTCAGGAGTCCCACCAATGACATGTCTCTTACTTTGCAGGACATGGGATTTTACTTCGAACCTTGTGCCTGTTTCCGCTTCGAAAAATACACTACTTTGCCAGACAAACAATTTGATTTGTCTAGTCAAATAATCGCATAAAGCGCCAGTTCCCTGATGTGGCCCACACCCGCCGAGCAAACCTGCAGCATTGAGGTCACAGTGTGCAGTTCTGAGCCGGGCCCCTCACAGGACTACCATAAGGCTGGCCAAATGGCACCTTGGCCTGAGCTGCCAAACACCCAAGGCAGGAATCGAAGACCCCAAGAGCCTCTGGCATCGAGCAGAAAGATCAGAAAGATGTTCTTTCAATTTTGACTGTCAAACTGGCTTAAAGTGCGAGATGCAGAAAACCTTACGATTGTTGAGCGTAACGGAGCAGAGCTGTCAGGTCAAACTGAATCAAACTGTTCGATGTTCCCCTTTTGCTAAGGTAGGCAAGGCATGGCAAGGCACGGGATCGGGTCCAGGTGACCTGGGCCAATCAATTCACTCTCTGAGACTCTCCTTTCGGAACCTGCCGACTGCCAAATCCACACGCACACGAGACAAGCACCACAATCGCATGGCATGCAACATGTTCCAGAAAAAATAACATAATTAATAACAAAAATGAAATGTGCCAAGATTCGGATTCGGAGAATATGGTGGATGCAGCATAGATTGTTGGGCATATGATGTCGGTATGCTTGGATGGGTTGGAGGCTGAGCGAGAGGTGGCCCTTGTGAAAAAGGTGGCGGCTGTTGGTGGTGATGCTGCGGCTGCGGTTGCTGTGTGGGAGGCATTTGTTGCCCATATGGCTGGGCTGGACTTGGCTGGGAATAAGGCTGAGAGTGCTGAGATTGCTGAGACAGGAAGGGAGCTCCAAATGAAGCATCTGGGTAACTCGGCATTTGAGCTGCTGGTGCTGGCTGGATCTGGGGCGGCAGTGTCTGAAAAGCTTGTTGCTGCGCCTGCGAAAGCAAGAGACCCAGCACACAGACTTGGTGGATTGGGCTTGGGAGTAAGAGATGCAGACTGGAACACTGGACCCACGAACACAAGACAATGGGAAATTCAAGATGCCAAGTATAGTTTTGTCATGCTTAGTCCAATAGACAGTTGCACCCAATTTAAGCACCAAGGGGGTGTTGGTTTCCACTAAGGATTGGGTGATCAGTGCCTGCTGCGGCATTCCTGCCATGCTGGAGAAACCAGCGTCAGGCTGTGGCATTCCTGGACATATCAAAATCACAATGAACATCCTCCGACAAGTGCAAAGGCATATCCACCCTCAGAAGAACACATTGGCAAACCATATATATATATATAATTCTGCCGCAAATGCTGCAACTTTAAAAACATACACAAGCAGCTACGTCCGCCAGCGCTCTTACGACAAATGACGGAACAAATGAATCAAATCACTTGAAACTCAAGCGAAAGTTGCTTTGCAAAGCTTTTTGTCCAATGATAATGATCCAAATTCAGGTCCAAGCTTTTCAAATGCCCCAAGTTCAGCGACCAACAACATTACATGCAGTACCATTTAGCAGCACCCGCCATGGACAAGTACCCGCCCACTCCGGACCGCCTGCGAAAGAAGCAGCACCTGCAGCCCAGCACTTTGGCCGCTGTATAGCAGCACTCACACCAATACTGTAGCAGGCAATGGATTGCTGGCAACACCAGCCACACATTGACAACGCCCAAGTTGTATCAAATTGGACAACAAATTGAGAGATCATGGCCTGTCTGAAAGCCGCCGCTTGCAAAATCTGTTTGAAAACCAGCATCTGGAAAGCCTTGGGACAAAGCCGGGTCTGAAAGGATTTGAATTGAAAGGTTAGCAAATTAACAAAAACCTTTCATGACTTTCATGGCTTTGTATGGCTTCCCTCTTATTCTTTCCCACCTGCACTTGTCTCGAAGAATCCGCCTGGCAGAGTCCAAGTATGCCAAACGGAATGTTACAGCGGTATCTACAAGCTACGGCAGCAAGGCTGAATAGATTTGAATAGATCAAAAAAAGAAACCCAAACCGAACCCCATGCTTTCAATCAATTACACCGTTTTCAAAGTAGATGGCCCCGCCCTCTTCCAAAGTGCGCGTATAGATGGCGCCGACTTTTTGAATTTTGACACCCCCCGAGGGCGTGACATCCATCCCCCTTACTTTTGTGGGCCGCGCCATCTATGCCAGAATGTGTTGCCAATGTGTTTCAGGGTTGCGCCATCTATGCAGGGATTCTTAAGTCCAAAGTTTCCAAGCCTCCGCAACATTCACCCAGTCGGTTGCGCTCGGTTTTTTCTCTTCCCCCTGGTCTCTGAATGTCCCTGACTGCACAATTTTCAAATGAGCAGCAATACTGTACTAGTTGGCATTGTAATTTGAATTTCGAATTCGGTCTTTCTTCATTTAAAATTCTTTATCCACTTTTGGGCCATCTATTCCTGCATTTTTATGTCTTGGTTGGGTTTGGAGCTCTTGCCACAGGAATGTGGCACCTATTCCCGCGGTGCTTTGGAAGATTTTTGAAGGAATCCGCCTTTTCAGCTGTGTTTTGAAGTGACTTGCAGCCACTTTTGGGGGGTTGCGCCATCTATTCTTGCATTTTTGGGTCTGGGTTTGCAGGTATCCCCACGGGAATGCGCCGTCTATTCCTGTGGTGTTTTGGTGGATTTTCTGCAAATCCTGCAATTTCAGCAATTTGTTGTTTGACTTGCAACCCTTTTTGGGGATTGCGGCAATGTATTAAGGTGACTTGCAGCCCCTTTTGGGGTTGCGCCATCTATTCCTGCCTTTTTGGGGTTTGGTTGGCTTTGCATGTTCTCCACAGTGTTTTGGTAGATTTTTTGGCGGTCCCGCCTTTTCAGTCAGCTGCGTTTTGAAGTGACTTGCAGCCCATTTTGGGGGTCGCGCCATCTATTCCTGCATTTTTATGTCTTGGTTGGGTTTGGAGCTCTTGCCACAGGAATGTGGCACCTATTCCCGCGGTGCTTTGGAAGATTTTTGAAGGAATCCGCCTTTTCAGCTGTGTTTTGAAGTGACTTGCAGCCACTTTTGGGGGGTTGCGCCATCTATTCTTGCATTTTTGGGTCTGGGTTTGCAGGTATCCCCACGGGAATGCGCCGTCTATTCCTGTGGTGTTTTGGTGGATTTTCTGCAAATCCTGCAATTTCAGCAATTTGTTGTTTGACTTGCAACCCTTTTTGGGGATTGCGGCAATGTATTAAGGTGACTTGCAGCCCCTTTTGGGGTTACGCCATCTATTCCTGCCTTTTTGGGGTTTGGTTGGCTTTGCATGTTCTCCACCGTGTTTTGGTAGATTTCTTGGGGATCCCGTCTTTTCAGTCAGCTGTGTTTTGAGGTGACTTGCAGCCCATTTTGGGGGTTGCGCCATCTATTCCTGTATTTTTAGGTTTGGCTTGGTTTGCAGGGGGAATGGAACATCTATTCCCGCAGTGTTTTGATGGTTTTATTGTAGATGCTTCCATTTCTGCACAGCCCCTTTTGAGGGTTGCGCCATGTATTCCCAGGTTTGGGGGATTGGTTGGGTTTACAGGTGTTCACACGGGAATGGAGCATCTATTCCCGTAGTGTTTTGGTGTAGATCCTCCCCTTTCTGCATTTCCCTTCATCTATACCCAACCCTCTTTAAAGCGCCGCTTACCGTCCGCTTACACATCTATTCTCACATATTCTGACCCTGGAGTTCATGGCGTGCGGGGACCCACACTCAAGAATTGGTGCGATCTATTGTGGCAGTAGGGTTATTCCTTTTTGGGGCATTGTTTGCAAGACTTTTCAAGAGCAACTGGATGGCACTGTCCCAGGTGGTTGCGCCATCTATTCAGTAGTTTAGTAGTGAAAAAATCCTTTCCCCGAAAAACTTTTGTTGAACACACATCCCCCTTACTTTTTCAACGCTTTGATGACCGAAATGTCCGGTCCCGGAAGAAGGAATTTAAATTAAAAATGGGGTAGATGGCGCAATTTGGCCCATTTTGCACTTGTAGGGTTGCGCCATCTTCTGGCACATTTGCTGTTTCGGGTAAATTTGGGATTGATTTTTTTCACTGTTAAATAGATGGCGCAACCACCTCTGAAAAAGTAGGTCAGAGCCATGTACTTTGAATATGGTCGTCTAGACTGACTGAAGGGCCTATCATAATTTTCAACCATTTCCAGGTCAGGTTTTCGAGGCCAAAACAGTTTTCAATCAATGGATGCTGCAAATCATTGTTTTGATCAAGTTCTGCTCTGTTCATATTTTTGCTTTATGTATCCAGCGCTGATTCAATGACCTGCCTCCCCAGTCGGCTGCTGGCTTTGATTCCTCCTTCTTTTCTTTCTTTTTACCCTTGGCATCTGGCTGATCCGAGCCAAGTCATCTGAAAGAAAGCAAAGATAGTCAGTCTACACGTCCAAATCGCGCACATTCTTTGGTGACTTTACTGCAAGCGCCGTGCGGGCCGTGGTACATCCTTGGAAGTTTTCTTGGACTTCGATTCCTTGGATTCCTTCTTTGGCTTTGACTCTGCCGGGCTCGCACCGCCTCCTTGACCTTCTCGAATGACCTCTGCATTGGAAGCTGTGTGCTGCACAACTCACTTTTTGCATCTCTTTGAGACTCTTTGCAATGTTTCTTTCAGTTTCTTTCAGTCTATGTTTTCACTTACCTTTGCATGTTTCTTTTGCCCACCTTCTCCTCAGGCAATCCCAAGAGATGGTTGATGGCACGGTTCAGATCTTTGTCAGCACCATCCCAAAGACCGGACAGAAACCTTGGAAAGAACAAGGCAAAAATTCGAAAGAAAACTGTAAGAAGTGTAACCGGCTTCATTCCAAGAACAGCTGCGATCAAAACATCCAAATGGTTGGTGGTCTATATACAGTACATGTTTCAGCCTGACAGCTAGGGCCACACTTGCCAGGGAACTGACGGTCCAAAGGTGGACCGGATAGGATAATCTGCGCCTGCTGGCAAAAGCTGTCGAAATCGTCGCCCATGGCGCAGGCAAAAGCTGTTTGTATCCGAATTTGCCGAGTTTACTGATGGCCTTGCTGGTGCTATTCCTGGAGCTTTCTCGCTCACAGCAAGCGCTACTTGAGCCTTCACTATTCGTCGATATTCTTCATGACTTGATTTCTTCACGCTGTGAATTTGTCACTTCTTGCCTGCAATGAGTCAGTCAACCACAATTTTGTTTTGCATCGAGGAATTGGGAAGATTCAGCTTTGCTTAGCTGCGTACAAGTTGGTGCTAGTCAAGCCAAAACGCTTTTCAGTAAACTTTGCGTGTGCATCAAGTGCTTCACCAGTACAACTGGACAGTCTATATATACACTGTATGGATACAACCCCTCATCGCAGGGTTGCCTTAGCCTCTATATATTTTCTACATTGCAAAAATAGTCTACATTTGTCTAG